AATCGATGCTTCCAAATTCATGAGTCGAGCAAAAGAGCATCTAAAGCGCGTTTTTAACGTTATGAGGATTAAAAGTTAAGATTCTACCAGTATAAGAAAAAAGTTAAATTTTCAGATTTTTTGCCGTCAATGCCCTGTGCAGCGCAGTACTCCAGAACTTCAATTAAAAATTTCCACCTCGACAGTTGACTTTGAATAAAAAAGCAGTAACCAACCATAATTAGGCCAATGCGGAGCTGCATAGCACTGCGGTGGCCAAGCGGAAAATGCTGCTGGAGCTAGCGGTTGTCCAAACTGTTGATAATAGTTAGGCCAACCGGCATATCCGGGCATATAAGCTGCTGCACCTTAACCAACGTTACTTCAATTGCTTTAAGTTGCTTGAAACTCTACTGACCTGTATAGAGGGCAGCATCTGTAGATGGAGCTGCTGTTTGTTCATGGTCATCTTTGCCTACGCCTTGGGTCATTGCAGCTAACCTCTGAAATGTGAAATATAGGCAAGCGTGATGTATGCTGAAGTGGTAGAAATAAAAAGCTTACTTAACCACATTTTAAAGACAAATTCTCTGTATCAAGGGACATAAAACGTAGTAAACACTTTGCAGGGAATACGCCCAAAGTGAGGAGAAAGCGAGGAGCGACTGCGCGTCTTGACTATGCCAACTGGAAGAGTTATGTGCCTCATCGGTCCAATGAGGCACTTAGGACCCTAATGTTTCAGCAATGGGCCCCATTACCAATTATGATCCGCAATGATGGCGCATGTAATGTGACGTTCGTAGTAGTGATGAGGACGCTGGGAGCGTGTCAGGAGAATGTCGTGAAAACGTTATAACGAGCCACTGACCTGAAGGTGATCATTCGCTTCTGGCTGACTGCCAGAGGCACCAAAATCGAAGCCAACCGTTGACAGCGTGGCGGGATTCATCTGAGGTTCGGCGCCGTGGCGACACTACCGTAGTCGAGGGGGCGTGGCGAGCGGCCGTGATTCGCTGAAATGGACGGGGCTTGGGATGAACCAGCGGAGAGCTCAAAAGAAGCAATGAAACAAGTAACGATCGGCATGAAATCGGTATTAAGGTAAAAATCAACGCCAATTTAGTCGCTGAGGTGACAAGTCGGTTTGATTTGTTGGAGCGATAAATTATACGTGAAGTGCCGCCGAAGTAATTCCGCATGAATAACGGTTTGCAGAGAGGAAGGATTGTTGGATGAGAATGTTGCAGTTAGAGAGGCATACAGACAGGTAAGCAAAGAACGCTCACATTA